TGGTCAATTTGAGGAATCCGCCACTAGTTACAGTTCCTTTTATAACAAGTCTGTGGTCAATTTGAGGAATCCGCCACTAGTTACAGTTCCTTTTATAACGAGTCTGTGGTTGATTTGAGGAATTCTTAAATTTTTTTTAAGAACAGGTATGATTGCCACAACAATTACTGCAATGTTCAGTTCAAAGAAGTTATTTTTTATAAAAATCAAAAGTCTGAGCTCAATAGAAAAACAAATTTTGAGCAATTATTTATTAATCATTACCGATAATTTAAAACTAATGGTCTACTCCTCTATAAAATCTTAAAAGGTGTGAGCTGGTGGTCATCTGCTTTGCGGTACTGCATCATCATCATCTGGTACAAAATACCATACAAAAGCGGAGATCGAGAATTTCCGTCTCTCTGTACTTGATGATGCTTTTACTGGCAAAACCATGGTCAAAATAAATGATGTATTTGTGAAACGTACAACTGTCTTGTTTTCCACAGTTCTGTAAGTATGTGTACATAAACACATTTTTCTTTTTATATTCAAAACCTGACACATGATAACTCTTCTATATAATGTATTTTTAATCTACATCTGAATATTTTATTTCATTTATATGGAATATCTGTAAAAGAAAAAGATTACTAATCAAATACCCAATGACATCATCAGTACATTATTCAATCCATTGTACAGTAATGTGTTCGAAATCTTTGAAGGTCAAAAACTATACTTTGTCACAGCCATAACACATTGTACTACCGAAGAAAGTATTCTTTATGTAAAGAAACTAATTTCCACAGTTATAAATGAATCTTTTGTTGCTAAATCAAAAAGATATTAGATAAACTGTCATGTAAAAAAACTCCCTTTAATTAAGAGTTTTATAAAGTTTAACATTCTCGCTCCCTTAACAATACGATTATTAAACACCAGCAGTTACAGGAAAAAAGGACTTGCTATATAATAAACATTTCAGCTACACACACTATATTTAAAAGTTCAAATTTTATAAATTTCAGTTGGAAACTTCATTATTTTCTAATTTTATAAACACAGGTTTAAATACAATATGGAAGTTCAGAAAATAGGCCTCGCTGTTCTGAAATACATTTACAAGTGAAACAGTTCTACATGAGTGGAAGCTGTTACAAGTGAGTCAGTCCTACATGGAGTGGAAGTTGATACAAGTGAATCAGTCCCACATGGGTGGAACTTGATATACGTGAGTCAGTCCTACATGGGTGAAAGTTGATACAAGTGAGTCAGTCGTACCTGGGTTGAAGTTGATAAAAGTGAGTCAGTCCTACATGGGTGGAAGCTGTTACAAATGAGTCAGTCCTACATGGGTGGAAGCTGTTACAATCGAGTCAGTCCTACATGGGTGGAAGCTGTTACAAGTGAATCAGTCCTACATGGGTGAAGTTGATACAAGTGAATCAGTCCCACATGGGTGGAAGTCAATACAAGTGAATCAGTCCTACCGTTGGAATTTATTACAGGTGAATCAGTCCTACATGAGTAGAAATTAATACAAGTGAACCAGTCCTACCTGTTGGAATTTATTATAGGTGAATTAATCTTACCTGGGTGAAAATTGAACATTGATATTCCAAGCATCTCACATCGCCTCAGTTCATCAATCAAAGCTTCTCTACTCTTCCGAAGTGTTTCTTCATTTGGAGCTCCACAATTCAACAGGTAGGAGCCATGTGGGAGAATCAAACGATGAGAGTAATCATGCTCTCGACACGCTTCTCGAAACTTTTCTGCTGTTTCTTTGCTAAGCGGTTTACATACCCACTGACGTTGGGAACGAAGAAATAAGCCGAATGCTCTAGCACCTATAGCCTTTGCATTATAAACTGCATTCTCCAAACCACCTGCAATATATCAGGATAAATATTATAATGTTGAAAACAGGACTGAGACAAATTCTAGAAATGCATTTCAACAGGAAAATAAAAACCCATTTATTAAAGCACCACTCCCAATCATACAAGATATAAATACCAGAATTATGTTCAATCTTTAAGGATCCTCATTAGAGATAGTAATACCTATATTCTATAAAGCTTTGTTTAAAACCTAAGTGTCAATAATTATTCAGCCTCAGCTATTGATACATATCAATTTAGAAATGGTTGTGGTGAGTAATTACTTTGTCTTCAATGGTTAAGACAGCTTTCAGGAATATAAATAATGAATTAAAATTACATTTACTCGAGGGAAAGATATCAGGAAGATTAATTCCCTCATTTAAAGTTGCATTTCCTCATGAATTATTTTTTTATTTAATCCATGCAATATGTTCACTTTCATTAGTCGTAACAAAAGGAATACAGATGGACCATGCATTCCTGACCAGGAAAGCCAACTAAAATTATGAAATTCCTCAAGTATAGTAAAGTTCTTTGGTATTGTGGGAATTTTCTATTTCGATCACTTATTTTGTTTAAAACATAAGTGTCAATAATTATTCAGGCTTAGCTCTTGACATCTATCAGTTTAATAATGGTGTGGTGAATACTCTGTCTTCAATGGTTAAGACAGCTTTACTAAGGTTTTAAACTTAGTGAGTATCTTGTCCCTATGTTTATGTGCCGATGTTGAAAGGATTAGTGTGTTTCTTGTCCCTATGTTTATGTGCCGATGTTGAAAGGATTAGTGAGTTTCTTGTCTCAATGTTTAAGAAAGTAAACCTTCAGAAATAGCAGGATGTCACTAGATAGAGAAAAATGAAGAAATGGCTCTCAGTAATGTAAATAATGCTTGATAAATTCTTATTACTTTAGCAAAATATGCTGAAAAAGGATTGGGATCCTTTTAAAAATCAGGTGATGAATAGGTTTAATAAATTATTACTTAATCATAAACATACAGCTTTCAAAAATGTGAAACAAAAGGGGAGAATACTGAGGCTTTTGTATTTCATATATTTTCAGGGTAAAAAATATGCCTAAAAAGAATATTGATAAAGTACTTCAAAAGAAGAACATGGCAGATGATTTGGTTAACAAGAAGTTAAATCTTGAAATGTTATCTTCCTCTGAAAGTCATGTGAAAAACAGTGATGATAAGAAAATTGTGACAGTTAAAGAAGAATTTCCAACTGACTTAACTGATGAAAGAACTTCTGTGTCTATACAAAGATATGGCCTCAGAAAGAGAAAACCAGCCATTCCTTCAGAACAACATAACATTAAGGCTATTAAACAAGAGTTTAGTCCTAGAAAGAGTATAGTGAAAAAAGAACCTAACAGTGAATCATTAACTGCCAAAAGTAACAAAAACAATACAAAGATTGCCAAAAGTGAAAAGTATACAGTTAACAAAGAAAGAAAGAAAATAAAAAAAACCAGTGCTCAAGTTGATAAATCTGATAGTAAACAACAGAGAGACAAAAGCCCACACAATAAACCTCTGTTAACTAACCAAAAGTTTGTTGGTGCTCATGTGTCCATTTCTGGTAAGTACCTTGAAAACAGTTAGAATATTTAATGTTAATTCCATACAACAGCTTGTTTGAAATAATTGAAATATATAACTTGTTAATGATATGTACAATGTTGTACAGTTTTATTTTACAACATTAACTCCTTTCAAGTTGTCACCTAAACTTAGGGACAAGAAACTCACTGCTCCTTTCAAAGTTGTCACCTAAACTTAAGGACAAGAAACTCACTAATCCTTTCAATGTTGTCACCTAAACTTAGGGACAAGAAACTCACTGCTCCTTTCAACATTGTCAATGCTTGTTAAGAAAAAAACTGGGAAGTTTAAAGAACAATAAGCCTCCTGGACCAGGCAATATTTCCCAATGGTTTTGAAGGAAGTCAAAGACTGGATATGCGAGCCATTTGCTATTATTTTTTGCAAGTCTTTTAATAGTTGGCAGGTATCAGAAGAAAGAAAGTTGGCTAATGTTACTCCTTGTTTCAAGTGAGGCAATTAAAAGTGTTTCAATAATTGTAGGCCAGTTAATCTTGCATCAGTAGTGTAAAAAGTTTTGAAAGTTTGACAAAAGATGATTTGTAAAGTCAGTTAACAATATTTAAAATTGTTAGATAGTCAACATGGTTTCAATGGAGGAAAATCTTGTTTTACTAATCTTTTGATATTTTTTAGAAGTTACTGCTAATGTAAGGTTGTAGGTTGGTAAGGGTGTAGATTTGGTTTATCTAGATTTTCAGAATGCATTTTATAAGGGGCCACATAAAAAGACTTATCAAAAAAATTCTCTCTACAGGTCCGGTGGGTAAGTCATCTTATTGGATAGAAAATTGGCTGAATAGAAGAGGGTTGTTATAAATGGAGTTCAGTCATCCTGGATTAATGTCACAAGTGGCGTACCTCAGGGCTCAGTCTTAGGACCTCTGCTCTTTATGATTTACATCAATGATACAGATGAAGGAATGGTAAGTAAATTACTTAAGTTTGCTGGTGATAGGTCTTGGGTGTTACTGTGAGGATGATGATGCTGATTTACAAAAGGATTAACATTATTTGGTGGATTGGGGGAATAAATGGGTTTTAATTATAAAAGCAAGCTAACGCATGTAGGTTATAATAATGTGAATTATAATTCCTGGCCACGGAAGTGTCTGAGTGAGAAGTTGCAGTTGCGAATATTTAAATCTCCCATAAACAAAATTATTTTACCTCAAACAACACATGAAAACATCTACAATAAAATTACATGTTGAGTTTGAACAGTTTATTTCAAGGCGACCATACTCCTACTAGTGGTAATCGGCTATAATAAGATCGATATGATCCCTTAACAATCCTCTACCATTTTGTAGAGACAAATGAGCAAATGTTAGCACCAGAAATAGGGCATCGGCTTACGAGTATTTGACTAATAAGAGTTGGTAAAATATCAAACGATAGCTCTCTTTATGCTCTATATTGGTCTGGGTGTCAATTTTTTGTATCCAGAAACATTTTTTATTTGAAAACACACAAATAAAACTTTAAAACCATTAAAAAAATACTTTTAGTCATTGAATTTGGAAAAACAAAGCCATACAATAAACTGTGTGGTAGGTATTATATAATTCATAAACCAATACGTATATATTTCTGCCCAATTCCAACCAACAGCATGTCAAAAAAATGATGAATTGTAACTGTAAACAGATAATAGATTGCCTTGACAATGTTTGCTTTACATCATAACCCGTCTGTCAATCATGAAACCAATATATCTCCTTTACTTTACTAGGTAAATATGCAAGTTCATACTTGACTTTTAACATTTGGTTGTTGACAGTTTTTAATATACTAATTTAATATAAGTTCACGTGTATGGGTTTTAAATTGAAGTTATCTTATTAGAGCTACATTTTATCTTGCATTATCACAATTTTCATGCAATGTCTCAGGTAATTTTTTTAGCATTGTAACTGTTCCAATGAGACATTCACGTGGTGCAAAGGGTTGATTTATAGGTACAGTTATCAATTGTTTCTCATTAATTACTAAATACATAATTCTAACTGTTGTATAAATCTACAAATTTTAAACTGTAGAATCCAATGGTGTGTAATTTTTTTATTTTCACTACCTAAAAATCAACGCAACCCCTAATTTAGTAATTATAGAGTTTGGAATAACATTAACAGATCTTGTTCTGGTTGATTAGTCTCTTCTAAAATCCAAGTTATTTTAGACTTCAGTAGTAGTACTAGTAAACTTACAGCTTTAAAAGTTTAAGTTTTAACCTAACTACTAAAAAGTTTTCTCGACAATTGAAGTACCCGTCTTTCGTGCCCACGATAAAAAAAAAGTCCAACAAATTACTTTTTCTTCTCACGTTCACAAAATTAAATCTGCCTTTCCGTAAAACACATCTAAAAATACAAGACAAAGCAAAAACATGCATTACAAACTCGCGCTGAAAGTATAAATGTAGCGCATATTTATCGCCATCTGTTGATTTTTATAATATTTTTAGGAAATCGAATTTTATTAATTAATATACTTTATTTTTTCTATAAGTAACCAAAATCCACTTTACCTATAATTCATCATAGTAATGAAGCCAATAACTAATAAATAAGTAAAGAGCAATATTTTTGTAAAGAATACTGAAGAATATGACAACTAGTGATTTAACAATTTTTCTCTTCTCTGCTAAAAATATTGGTTTAATATTTCTGTGGATGTTTGGCTTTTGCAAAATATTTATAAATACCAAGCCTTTAAAAACAAGTTTGTGTATAGTATTGTAATATTGTTAAAATGAAAACCTGGAACAAAGGGAAGGAGTCAATGTCTAACTCATTAGGTCATTCCTCCAACAAATCTTTTAAAACTCAAATTTTATTACGCGTATACTATATTGTTGCGTCAGCGAGGTCACGTGACTAGTATCACGCCACCTGTTTCTAGAAATATCCTGTTCCTTCAAGTATGCCTTAGCATTTACTAGATATGTGTTAGTCTTGTGTATATAAAACGTTCACAACGTGATGGGATAACAGTGTAATGAGTAATTGAATGTATGCGGACAAAATATTGTTGGCCACGTGAGACATAGCGTTGTTATAGCGCGACTGTTGAAATTAAGTGTATCGTAAAGTTATATTCAGAAAGAATAAACCAGTTTAATTTGAGAAAGGACTTGTGTCGCTAAAGTTTCGTCGGAACGAATTTACGGAAAAGTAACTAACGAACGGAGACGTAACAATATATTATAAAAACAAATTGACGACTTGATCTTGAACGACTTTGCAGACAAGGTAAAAGATCGTCTCCCAGTTTCTTCTAATTGTGGCTATTTAGCCGAAACTTCAGCTTTGTCCGGCAAGGACTAGTTTTCACTTATAATCATATGCTCCTCATATAATAATAATAATAAACAATTATCTTATATTATTTCAACGTAGCTAGTGGAACTCTCTTTAGAAATTTTTAGCTGCTTTTACTCCTCTCTTCTTTCGTGACTCAGCGGTAAGCCCGAAGGTTTGTAACGCTAGAAATCTGGTTTCGATACCAGCTGTGAGCATAATACAGATATTCCACTGTACACCTTTGTGTTTAACAATGAACAAAAGTATATGAATTTTGAATTAAAAAATAAGTAAAATCAATAGTCTAACATTTTCTATTAATTTTTATTGTCAGAATTAGCTATCAAGCCCATGGATTGTGTTTAGCTGCTTATAGTATTGTTACGCCTCCAGTCGTTAGTTAATTTTCCGTAACTTCGTTCCGACGAAACTTTAGCGACACAAGTCCTTTCTTAAATAAAACTGCTTTATTGTTTCCGGATACAACTTTACGATACACTTAACTTCAACAGTCGCTCTGTAACAAACCCTATGATTCTCAACGAACTTCTCATGTGCTTAACAATATTCTCTCTGACTGCAGTTCAATTACTCATTACCTCTGATCTCCTGTCACGTTGTAAACGTCGTATATATACAAGACTAATACATATCTAGTAAATGCTAGAGCATTCTTAAAGGAACAGGATATTTCTAGAAAGGGGGGGGGGCGTGATACTAGTCACGTGACCTCGCTGACGCAACAGTATAAATTTGTACGAGAGACATTTTTACAGTATAGAAATAAACATCTGGTGAAGTAAACTTTAGATTAGTAAGAACAATAGAACATCACGTGCTTTAACGCATATCTGTTTTTATTAACATTATCCGGTAATTAAATCTTCACATTAAAGTTCAAAGAATACCTACAATTTTAAGCATACCTGAAAAGACGAAGAGATGTCATTAAGGCTTGATTCCAGATGAAGCTTTCGACCGAGTTACTGCGACAACCATCATTCAGATAATTAAATCTCAACATTAGAAATCAAGGGATACCTAGTTTTAAGCATATCTGAAAAGACGAAGAGTTGTCATCAAAACTTAGTTCCAGATGAGGACGGTTGTGACTCACTCGAAAGTTTCCTTTGGAACCAGTCCTTCATAACACCTCTTCGTCTTTCCCGCGCGTTTTTGTTTTGTTATTCAAATGAGAGCTTTTGAATAAACTCTGTGGTTTAATCTTTTTTTTTTTTGTATGAAAATATGAAGTTTTCCTTCGGAATTGGCCCTGGTGGTTAGGGCGTACGACTCGCAACCTGTTCTAATTCCGTCACTGAATATTCTAGCACTTTCAGCTGTGGGGCGTTATAATGTAACAATCAATCATACTTTTAACTGGAAAAAAAAAAGAGTAGCCCAAGGGATAGCAGTGGATGGTGTTGACAGTTGCCTTCGTTCTAGTCTGCTAGTTCCAAAATAGATATGAACAACGTAGATAGGCCTAAATAAACAAGCAAATCCTTTGAAATTAATATAACTGTATCTTATTATTATAATTCAATTATTAGTTGGTGGTAGTTTAATGCAGTAAAGTGGTAAATGATATTCCTAAATACTGTTTTTCAACCATTTAATAATTGTATAAACGGTTGTCTTGGAATATATGTTTATGTTATTACAATATAATGTGAAAGAAAGAAGGCACTTTTTGATTAGATGTGTATGTTTTTCGATTACTTTTATTCAAATCCTTTTAGTGTAAAAATAACTGTTGTGGTAAGTTGTTACTGTACTGTTTACATTTGTGTATTGTTAGTGTAGAAAGAACTGTTAAGATACGTCGTTACTCATCTGTTTACATTTGTGTATTGTTAGTGCAGAAAGAACTGTTATGATACTATGTTACTGTACTGTTTACATGTGTGTATTGTTAGTGTAGAAAGAACTGTTATGATACGTTGTTAATGTACTGTTTACATTTGTGTATTGTTAGTGTAGAAAGAACTGTTACGATACGTTGTTACTGTACTGTTTACATTTGTGTATTGTTAGGGTAGAAAGAACTGTTACGATACTATGTTACTGTACTGTTTACATTTGTGTATTGTTAGTGTAGAAAGAACTGTTATGATACGTTGTTACTCTACTGTTTACATTTGTGTATTGTTAGTGTAGAAAGAACTGTTGTGGTAAGTTGTTACTGTACTGTTTACATTTGTGTATTGTTAGTGTAGAAAGAACTGTTACGATACTATGTTACTCTACTGTTTAAATTTGTGTATTGTTAGTGTAGAAAGAACTGTTACAATACTATATTACTGTACTGTTTACATTTGTGTATTGTTAGTGTAGAAAGAACTGTTATGATACTATTTTACTGTACTGTTTACATTTGTGTATTGTTAGTGTAGAAAGAACTGTTATAATACATTGTTACTGTACTGTTTACATGTGTGTATTGTTAGTGTAGAAAGAACTGTTATAATACATTGTTACTGTACTGTTTACATTTGTGTATTGTTAGTGTAGAAAGAACT